CCAGGTAGCCTGTGGATTACACAGTTTGTGGCCTTGGCCAGACCAATTAACCTGATGGACATCAGCCCAGGATGTCTTGTTTAATTTTTGGCTTTTTTTGTTATAATGTTTTATAAAATTAGTGTAAAAGTGTCCTTTTGTAAGCCACTTAGGGTCCCCACCAGGAATGAAAGCATACTAAATAATGAAGGGAATAGATGAAATAATTTTGCATTAGTCAAATTGCTGGAATTTTCCCAACTATTAAACCCTCTTATACAAGTGTGATCCATATGGGAGACGATACCATTTTCACTCCATTTTCCTCAAAATAATGTAAGCGGAGCTTACCTTGTACTAATACTTTAATTCTACTGATGAAATTGACAAACTGATTCTCCTAAAAAATACAGCAGCAAAACTTTAAATAATTAGCCCTAAGCAAAAAAAAGTGTTATCTAAAAGATCAGTATCTAACTGCCTTGGCATAAGTGTAACCATGCCACCTCATGTAAGGCTAATTAGCTTCAATAGGAGGCAGTTTGAAGCAGAGAAGCCCAGGATCATTTGGTATTTAACCTGCCCATTGCTTTTACCCGCTTAAGACTACCTTCATCAGCGACTGTCCCCTCAATGCAGTTCGAGACATATCCTTGAAAGGAGAAAGGATAGACTTAGGGGGGAAAAGCAATGGATGGAAGAAGTACACTTTCCACCAGTTCTTTTCTCTGAATCTTCCCAGGTACAAACTTGTTCTGCCCTATGAGCAGCAGCCTTGAAAGTTTTGTTACATGCAGTCATGAGAAATTTCTAGCTATGTCCCTAGTTTTCTTTGAAGCAAAGCAAGCTTCATTTTTGCTTTTCAGTAATACAGATATGTACACACACACATATATATATAAAAACTTGGAAGACAAACTGCTAATCAGAAACATTTGTTATCTGGAAAATTATTCTCTATTCTAAACTCATTACAAAGGACAGTTACATACTCTTAAAGCTGTGGCTATGTTAGCCCATTCCATTGTGATCCTTGCCATTTAATTTCTACTAACTCATTCCTCCTCCTTCCTGTGCAGTAGGCATTCATAGCTTTTCTCAGCCTGAGGCCAGGGTCCTTCAAGGACCACCTGCGCTGAGGCTTGGCCACTTGCTGACTAAGATCTTCCTCAGATGTCCTGTTCTGTGTGGCCCACTTGTGCAAAGTGGATGGGTGGCTGCTAAAGACAAGACTACCAGTGTTAAGAACATAAGAAAAGCCCTGCTGGATCAGACCAGTGGTCCAGCTAGTCCAGCATCCTGTCCTACACACTGGCCAACCAGTTTCTCTGGAGGTCCAACATCAAGTCATAGAGACTGAGACCTTCCACTGATGTTGCCTCCTGGCTCTGGGATGCAGAGGTTTGTTGCCTCTGAACGTGGAGATTAGGGGTGTGCATTCGGTATATACCGAGCCAAATAAATACTCAAATAATATTATTCAGGTGTTCATTCATCCAAATACCAAATCAGATGAAACCATGAGAGAGAATCATGGTAAAAAGCCTAAGCAGTGAAAAAATAGCTGTGACAAGATTATGAACAATAAATGTGTGTTATCTTATACTCAACTGCATGTATAAAAGTCCAAATTGATAATTGATAAACAATTAAATGACAGAAAGAATAAATAATAGAATGTAAGTCCAGTACTTTCCAAAGTCTTCTACATTCCAATTGCAAAGTGAAGGGGAGGGGCATGTCTGCAAGGCCAGCAGCAAAACCAGGGCAATGGGCCCAGCAGAACCAGTGCCACTGTGGCAGTGACAAGACCCAAAAGGACTAAGGTCAAATCTGAGAATCTCTGAAGTAGAAACTGGGGGGTGGGGAGTTCTGAAAGGACAGCAGAACCAGTGCAATGTACTAGTGCCCAGCAGCAGAACCCAGTACCAATGTGGCAGCAACAGAACTTGCCAATGTCACACCAGAGAATCCCAACAGAGTTATTTTTTAAAAAAAAATGGCAGGAACAAGGGCAGTAGAAGCCCAACAGAAAACTCAAAAGAGCAGGGTAGGCAGGCAATTTTGTTAGCCCACCTGAACCAAGGCCAGCCCAATAGACAAAAGCCCAGTAATGTTGAGCTGCCATTTGCCACAATGGCACTGGGTTCTGCGGCTGGACGCTATCCTGTATCCACAATTCTCTACCTGCTGTTTTGTTGAAATCTTTAAGTAAAATGGCTTAATTTGATTTTGAAAAGCTGAAATCAGATAGCTTGGATGCTTCTATTGGAGAGTGAGTGACAGCCTGCCAGTTGGTGGATTTTATGAAGGAGAAGACAAGTAAGGGACCAACTGGAGTTGAGGTTTCCGTGCATGTCTCACTGTTAAGTTCTGAAGGGCTTGGGAAGTTAGCCAATTCTAGTTTCACACTGGTTGCAAGGGAACAAATGTTGGTCTCACTGTTTGAATGAATATTTTTTCATTGAACACCCTAGTGGAGATTCCCTTTAGTCACCATGGCTAGTAGCCACTAATAGACCCATCCTCCATGAATCTGTCTAATCCCCTTTTAAAGCTGCCTATACTTGTGGTCATCACTACATCCTCTGGAAGCAAATTCCACAGTTTAAGAACATGTTGTGTAAAGAAGTATCTTGTTCTATCTGTCCTGAATATACTACCCAACAGCTTCATTGGTTGCCCTCTAATGCTAGTGTTTGGGGAGAGGGAGAAAAGGTTTTCTTTGTCAACTCTCTCCACTCCAAGCATAATTTTATAACCTTCTATCATGTCTTCCCTTAATCATCTATTTTCTAAAATGTAAAAAGCAGTGATGCTACTTTAACCATGGAATAGTTATTTGTTAAGTAACAATGTTAACAACTGGTTATTTTTCATAGATAGTGGTAATTTTGTGTGTTGACATTGTTTTAAATTGTTCTATGTTGGCTGCTTAGAGAACTACTCACAGAGAACTTGGGGTAAAAATATATATTAATAAATAGTATAATTGCTTATTGTATATAATCCTTGCTCACATCAAGTAGTAGCTGTAGTTCATTTTGTTTTGTTCCAAGGCCATAACAATTTCACCGACATAATGGTTTTCAATCAACATAATAACAGTAACAGCTCAAACTAAATGTAATACTACAAGATAAAATTATCCTTGTTTGCACCTACAGGAACTGATGGGGTGAGCTTCCTTGGACATGGTGGAATTTTTTTTAAAAAGATGGAAAAATATATCCCATAACATTCTCCTCAGCTAAGTAGAATCAAGAAACAAAAGGAATATTTCTGCATCTCCCATTAATATTACTGAATTATTTGATTCTGAGACTGGCTTGTTTTTTCTTTTAAATTTTCACTCAGCAACTCATATATCCATCAAAAGCAGTGGCCAAAGTATACAAAATAGAAGCCACACTAAAACCTCTTTGGAGATTTTGTAATAGCTTGAGATACACAAGTGGGAGCAGATGATAAAGCGGAAAAGGTACTGATATTGATAAAGATGAGAATTCACTTTGCCATTGCCTTAATTTAAAAAATAAATACAAAAAATAGAAGGGGATAAACAAGGTTTAGGATAAAACTGGACTGTTGGGGAAATTAAGGAGTTTCATGTAACATGCAGTTCTGTCCTATGGTGCTGTGAATCAGTGACCTTAACACTGTCTTTTGGACATGAAGGCAATAGAATGAATACCAATAGAATGAAAACCAGACTCCCACCATAGCAATCCCAATGTCAGCTGAGATCAGGGTATCAGAGGCTGTTGAGATCCATTCCCTTTGTCTGCCTTAGTCTCTGGGAGCTCATAGGAAGGCTTTTATTATGGTGGCTCCATCTTTAAGCAACACCTTATCAGAAAAAGAAGGTATCCTCTTTCCTTCAATTTAAGAGCAATTGTAAATAGGGATGGGCACGAACTGGGGAAATGGAGGTTCATCACAGTTCGTCGTTTGTGGGGTCATGCAAACCACAAACCTTCATGAACCTCCCCATTTAATGAACTGGTTTGTTTTCTGAGGTTTGTGATTTGGTAGGGGGATCTTCCTTCCCTCCCTCCCTTCTGCTGGGGATGGCTCACTGAGGCCAGCAAAATGGAAGAGGGGAAAGATCTGAGATCTTCCCTCTCTCCTGACTGCTGGCAGTGGTTCCCCAAGGCCAGCAGAATGGAAGGGGGGAAGATCTTGCAAAAGCCATTTAAAAGGAACATTCCCTTTAAATGGCTTTTGCAAGTGGGCGCCGGGAGTGAACTTGCCACTTGGACTTCACTTGCATGCGGGGAGTTTAACTTCACTTATTGTTTAGACAGTGAGAAATAGTTTACTAATCTAGTTAGGAATATTCTTATTTGTGAATTTCATAAAATGGCTCCTAATTATTTCAAAGGAATATATGGGGGGGGGATTCAGGACACCACAGCAGTTCTGATCAAGAGATGTTCACTCAAATATTTCCCTGATATTCCTGATTTTAATCCCACAATGCAATACATATACTCTCTCCTGTTTGGGGAACAGAAACAAGTAAGGGGGGGGGGAATCTACACTATGTGCATAAACTCATATGCATTTAGAACTCAGTTGTGCTATTTTCTGCACTATTAAGGTTTGCAAACCAATGCCCCAACAACTACAATTAACACTTCAGACTGATAATCGAACAACCAACTGGTTCTCCATTCATATGAGAAATACAGAGCTATTCAAAAACCACTGCCCACCCAACCCCAAAACTAGCAGAGAAATGGGAATGTGATGTCAGGGGAGTTTAAAGAAGATAAAATTGCTTTTGTTCAGATTTCTGAATGATGAATTTTATTGATGCAAGACAAATTTCTTAATTGCCTGAGATTTATTTTAACAGACAAAACAGCTAATGCATAAAAATAAAAGGGAGAGGCCTTACTGCAACACTCATAAAGGGGTGAGAACAATTTAAAAACAACACACTGCTTTCAAGACTGACTGCCATGATCCACGAAAGAAACAAAGTACTGAATAATCTTCTATCAACATTCACTTACCCAAGAGTCGCCTAAACCACCTTGGCTTCTTGTCCCATATGATAAAGAGGTAGTAAGCAGGGACACCAGTCAGTGTTATTGCAAAGCCAATGCCAGTATTGACAGGGTCAGCATAAAGTGACAGTGCAACCATGAAGAGGCAGGTGAAGGAAAACAGCGCAGGAATAAAGAGCGGCACCTGGAACACACATCAAAAACATTATTGCAATAGCACTGACCTTGGCTATTGAATGTATTTAATGTTCCATGAAATGTGAATTGGAGAAGCCACAGCAGCCCACTGAAGTCCTGCAGAACATACAGGATAGCCAATCCAAATGCAGGAAACTAAAGAAATGAAATTAAAATGCACTTTTCTGCTGTAACCATTCCAGCAGCTGCCTAATTACCCACTCAAACAAACTCCATCGTACTATACATTTTCTAGCATTTTCTAGCATTAACTCCCTTTCCTAGTCCCTCTGCTCCATTTGAAAACAGAAGCAACTGAGGCAAAGGTCACTACCCATTAAAATCTCTTGTGCAATGCAGCAGGAGGCCTGGGTTTGCTGGCTACATTTTTAACTTACAAAAACAAGGACATTGGGGGGGGGGGTCAAAATCTGGTAGGAGAAATTCAAATAAAAATCATGCATAAGGATGTCCAATCTCATTATGCAATCATCCTGTTCTTCAAAATTGTATGTGTCTGTCACCACAACTGATAGTATTATTGAAGCCATTTTTAAAATGGAGAAGGGCAACAAAGCTGTTATGTGATGCTTTCTTTATGACTCTCTGTTAAGGAAAAATCTTTTGATGTTGCCAACTGGATTGGCATCTCTAGATATTATTTAGTTGCTGATTTAATGCCTTGAGCATCTTAAATTTTCTGTTCAGCTTTGTTCTACTTGGTGTGCTTGCCCACAGCTGTAATCCAAAGCACACCCATACAGTCAAGCAAGTTACGTTAAAATCAATGGGAATTATTGATTAATGAACAGACACTTTTGCTCCTGAAGAGTTTTTTTTTTATTCACAGCACCCAAAAGGTATGTAATATAGGTATTTCCTGCTAGACACTGAGTTATCTCTAAAGACTTTCTTCTGCTAAGTGAGAATCTTCCTCTGACAGATTCCCATAGTAGAATGCATGGATTCTTTGGATCCAATCTAGGAATGTGCATTCAGCATTTCCAAGCCAAATTAATACCTGAATCATGATTCAGGCATTAGTTAAGCCAAATCAGATTCTCTGATCTGATTTGGTTTACTGATAAGAGAATCCCGAATTAATTCAAGGATCTCAAATTTTCTGGCTTTATTATACCCTATGGGGTCTTTTTAAAGGTAAAGGTTGCCCTTGCTCAAAAGCAGTGGAATCCAACTCTAGGGTGTGGTGCTCATCTCCATTTCCAAGCTGAAGAGCCAGCACTGTTCAAAGATGTTTCCATGGTCATGTGGCCAGCATGACTAAACACAGAGGTGCACGGAATGCTGTTACCTTCCCACCAAAGCGGTACCTATTTATCTACTTGCAGTTTCTTGCTTTCGAACTGCTAGGTTGGCAGAAGCTGGAACCAGAGATGGGAGCTTACTCTGTCATATGGCACCAGGGTCTCGAACTGCAAAACTACAGACCTTCCAGTCTGCAGCTCAGTGTCTTAACCTTTGAGCCACCATTGCCCCATGGGGTCAATATAGTCAATGGCAAATCTCCTAGGGTATATTCAGTGGGCTGGGGAGAAGGAGTTTGAGGTAGAGGCACCAAATTTGCAGTGTAGCTGCTGGAGCCTCTCCCCAAAAGAGCCCCCAAGTTTCAAAAAGATTGGACACCCAAAGAGGGTGCTCAAGTCCTCAATTGTTTCCAATGGTGGGGAAAAAGCAATGCAGGCATACAACAAACCCAGCAGATTCTCCCAGAGTAGAAAGTACTAGAAAGTAGGAAGTGAAGTGTGGGGAGGGGGCATGTTTGCAAGGCCAGCAGCAGAACCAATGCAATGTGCCCAGCAGAACCAGTGCCATAACTCAACAGAACTAAGGGCAAATCTGAAAATCTCTGTTGTTTCCAGTGGTGGGGGGAAAGCAATGCAGGCATACAACAAGCCCAGCAAATGCTCCTGGAGAATCTCTGCAATAGAAAATGGGGAGGGGGCATGTTTGCAAGGCCAGCAGCAGAACCAATGCAATGTGCCCAGCAGAATCAGTGCCACTCTGGCAGTGTCAAAACCCAACAGAACTTAGGTCAAATCTGTTGGATTCTGGCACTGCCAGAGTGGCACTGATTCTGCTGGGCACATTGCACTGGTTCTGCTGCTGGCCTTGCAAACATGCCCCCTCCCCATTTTCTATTGCAGAGATTCTCCAGGAGAATTTGCTGGGCTTGTTGTATGCCTGAGTTGCTTTTTTCCCACCATTGGAAACAATGGGGGATGGGAGCACCCACTTTGGGTGTCCATAGAATTGGACCCCCTGGTCCAATGTTTTTGAATCTTGGGGCTCCAGCAACTACACTACAAATTTGGTTACCTCAAATCCCCTCCCCACCAGCCCACTGAATATACCCTACGAGATTTGCCATTGACTATAAAGGCCCCATAGGGTATAATGGAGCCAAAAAATTCAGGATTGCCAAATTTTATTCGAATTCCAATACAATACCAATATAGGAATTCAGGTTTTCAAGAAAATACTGAATTTTTAAGGGTCCAAAAATCCCAAATCCAAAAAAATAACTATTTTTTCCTTGCACATCCCTAATCCAATTCTACATAATATATCCAGGAAATATTATTGTTGTATATTAAATAATTTTAATAATGCCATAAGTTTTAAAAAGTGGCTCACACAGGGGAGTGCTCAATCCAGAAAGGTAGATTTTGCACTTGTGGGCAGGAATTGCAGCCAGTGTGTATAGAAAAATATTGCCAAAAGTGTGTCCACCATAGCTTAGGAAAGCCAGTTCCTATATCCAGAGTACTATAATACTATAAGCATTAAGGTCCAAACCATTTGTGATTCTGGTGACCCTGATTATGTAAGGTAGTCCTCATTTTTGTTTGTTTTTAATAACAGGTGAAGGCAAATTCAGTTCAGACTGGGACCGTGGCTCAAGGAAAGCAAGGGAGTTAGGCCTTCTCCCCATGGTGTTCTCTTACTATTTAAAGGAAGGAAATGACAAAACTTCCAGTGTCACACTTGTTTTGGCCCTCATTTTGCCCTCTGAAATTTCTAATCAATCGAACCCAATTGTGCTACTACAGTTTTATGAAGCCGCCCTTTACAGTGGTCTTCCTTTTTCCTAACCCACATTTATATGATACCACATGTGCATTTTCCACAGACTGGATCTCAAGGATGTTCAGGTTCACAATCTTTCCCACTAACCCCAACAGCACTGAATAAGAGAGGCTTTGTTGCCCTTGTGCAACAAAGTTTAACAATTTGTTCTTAAGCAGTGGTCTTATAAAGAAACAGACTGAATCTTGATATTCAATTTTTAAGATACTAAATGCTTATATAATGTTAATATAATTTATTATTTTGTAAAATATAGTTTTAAGTTATCAAAGATATTAGAGAGTACAATGTGACATTAAGTTTATTGAAAAGTCTGTAGGAGTCTCTAAAAAAGTATTTTTTAAAAAAAATAATAAGCTAATTGGGGCTAATTTGTTGAGAAATCCTTCTATTCTTTTGCCATTATTCTGGGAACAAACCTGTTGTCTACTGTAGAAGAACAGCTGCATGCATGGCATGCATATGAAAAAATGTAACAAAAATTACATTGTTTGACCAATAGCAACCATTTAGTGTATACTGGAATTTGATTACTCTTAATAAAAAAGTGTTATCAAAGGTATAACTTTGTTCTCTTCATTTGTTTTCTTTTTACTGTAATATTTTTAAAATAGATATGAATACAATATTAATCTTTTAAAACTATTTATTGTACTATAAAGGAACTATTAGATGGTAACCTAGATGGTGGTCCTTTTCTCATTGAAGAGGCAGAGATATGAATAGTGGACAAAGTATTTATGCAAAACAATCACATTACTGAGGTTACCTTGAAAGGACGAGGCATATCAGGGCGTTTGTATCGGAGGTAAATCATCCCAGCAACTGCCAATCCAATAAAAAGCCACCTGGCAAAACTGAGAAAATTCAAGAGACTGTAGATATCACTTGTGAAGAGCATAATCATAGTCAGAGGGTGCTGCCAAAACAAAAACAAAAAAACCCCCAATGAGTGGGTCTTGTCCCAAATGTTATTGCATATACTTACATACCTTACATTCTAAATTCCTTAAATAGCTATATAAATACCACATATTTTATATAAATACATATTTGGAATATCTGGAATTTGACAAACAATTTTAGGGGAAAATTTACAGGTTAACAAGTAAAGCTTTTTTTAAAAAAAAAAAACCCTGAATGGAATAATCCTTAGTTCTTGGAATGGTCCATGACAACAAATTAGCTATATTATTTTATTCACAAAATTTGAATTCTGTCTTTCAGCCCTAACAAGGACCACCAAGGTGACTAACAATTCAAAGCATGCATGAGAAAATCTCTTTTTAAATCCATTAAAACATATATAAAACATTAAAACAGCAATTAAAATTAGTTAGAGGAAGAAGGGATCAATGAGGGAATGCCAAATGAAACAAAAAAGTCTTCACCCACTGGCAGAATACAGCAACAGGAAGGGAGAGAGTTCCAGAGCTCTGGTGCTATGACCAAGAAGGCCCTCTTTAAGATTGCCATCCACCTAATCTCAAAAGGCAGGGGCACCCAAAGGAGGCCTCCAAAGATTACCATAGCGGTGGAGCAGGTTCATAAAGGAGTAAGTGGTCCTTCAGCTATGATATTTTACTTATATTTATGGCTTTAAAGCAATCACCAGTGGTGGTTGAGGTGGTAGATAGAGAGTGATCTCCTAATCTCTTTTTCAATCAGCCAACCCAAGTAGTTTGATTGCATGTGGAAGTGCTATCTACACACTAGACCTTCCATAGAGCTCCACTAAGAACACTGACTGCAACTTTCATCATATCCGGCTCCCCAGCAGATGCCGAAGGCATCCTGCTGAGACCCGACTGCCTCTATGAAAGGAGGGAGGAGTTCGGCTGCATGCAGCTGGGTACTTTAAGGGAAGGGGCCAGCGCCGTCTTAACGGTTGGCCCTGGACTCACTCGGACAGTCTGCACCTCGTCCCCCGTCTATGGGGGCAATCAGACCTCTTAACTATATATAAATATCCTCATTATTCTGAAGATAATGAAGTCCCTAGACAATACTGAATTGCAGCCAAGTAAATTACATATGAATCACATTGTAAATGTTCACCTGAGACATTTTACATCAAGAGGACTAAAGGAAATATAAGACCCAATCTGAATTGCCTACAATTGTGATATTAGGGTTGTTTCGTTCCAGGTGCTTATCTATTTGCAATCAGAAGTCCCAAAGAATCTTTGTGTCATGAGTCAGCCAGGGCTCAGCAATAGCAAGGACTCCTCAGGAGAACATTAACAGAAGCTCTTTGGTAAAACTTCTTGGTTGTATTTTTCTTAACAAGGGTATGTTTGATGTTGTCAACTTTCAAAATTCAAAGATCTTTGTAGTTTTCTTCAAAGCTCAGTATTTTGATGTTGTTTGGCATCTTGATTTCTTCTTGTATAACAATCTTTCCTCTATTCAATGCTAATCCTGCATACTTGTCGAGGCCAAATTTCATTGTTATATCTTTGCTGACCATTCGAACTGTATTTAGTAAAGAATCAATCTCTGATTATGACTTTCCATACATTTCCAAATCATCCATATACAGTAAGTGGGACTGTCTTTGAAAGCTGGGATCCTAAGCCTGTGCAGCTGAGAATGATTGTGAGTGGTATTAGGGCAATGACGAAGCAGTGGTCTCCTTGTAAATTCCATGTTTGATAGTACCTGTTCCAATTTCTTCTCCATTCAGTACAGCACCAACCTGGTGTTCCATTTACTCATGGCAGTTTTGATAAGCGTTATTGCAGTTCTGCTGATGCCTATCATTTATAGCATATTCCGTATCCATGTATGAGGGAGTTTATTATTGTTGTTGTTGTTGTTAATTAGTTTACTAATAATAATAATAACAACAACAACAACAATGATTATGATGATGATAGTTTCAGTGTCCTGAATAGGACAGTAATATCCCACTATCTGTTACTGTTGTTTGCATTTTCTCTGCAAGTCATCTATAATGAGACTTCACAGACAGTACATTAAAGTGTAGCTTTTATGTGAAATTTTATTACTCTGCATTCCTACCCATGAAGATTCATTCCACTGAGAAATGCTTAACTAATCATTCTCCTTCAAACTTTCAAATAAAACGTAATGAGGTGTGATTTAGGTGCCAGCCTAGAAGAGTCAAATGTGACTAACATAGAGTTAGAGGAGGACTCTCTGAAATAGATCACTTCTGTAATTGCTCCCCACCTCTCTACATACATAGCCAACCTATGAAATGGAAATAAATAACGGAAATTCAAGAACTATTTAAGTCATATTGAAATCCTGCAGGGGACGCCTATATTGCACAGCCTTCTACAGGGACATTTGTTTGTATGATTTACCAAAACAATGACAGCTGGCAGAGGAGTGTGCTTGCGGACATGAATCATGGAGAGAATTTCTGGAAGGTGACCCTCACGGGATGCAACGTAGAACATCCTAGTGGGAAAATAAATTTGGACAGTGTTTAAAGATGCTCATTACCAAGATGAATGGAAGTAACACACCAAAGATGTAAAATACATTCACAAAAGTTATACTCAGTAGTACTTTGTTCCTATTTAATACATGCATCAGAAGTCCCAACTGAAAAGAATATAGGAAAACAAATTCAGCTACCAAGGAAATAGGCCTTTAAAATGTATTTCTAGCCCCCACCTTTGACAGACTTTAGAAACAAATATTTTAAAGCACTGCTTTCATTTTTTTGTTCTCTCATCTGAGCAAAGCAATCATTACTTCAGTACTATAGCAAAAATCCACCAGAAACTTCTGTTTAAGTCCCATTAAAATAAATGGAAGTTGGGCAAAAAATGTAATCAATTTTTCTGCAGTTTGCATTCAATTTTCCATTGCTGCATTCACTGTTATTAACTATGTGATAACCAAAGGAGAGAAAATGTACACAATTCCCTGTACAGTTGTGCCAGTATTACGTTGTTATCTATTTACTTCCTTTGAAGAAGTTATCAGGGAAGGGGTTCTGGTCCTCTGGAGGGGTAAAGCATATGTATTACATATAGACCTCCCTAAGGAAAGGTATTGGGAAAAATCCTCCTCTGCCTGAAAGCCTGGAGATCCACTTCCAGGCGGAATATACAAAACTAAGCTAGATAGACCAGTGGTTTGAATTATGTAAAAAGCAGGTCCATGTGTTTCTACACTATAATTTACAGACTTTATCCTTACTGATCACTTAATCTTCAGATATAATGCTATTAACATTGGCTCACCTGGAGACAGCAAAAATACCACCATTCATTGACCCAAAGCAAGAGAGTGCAACAAAAATGGGAACAGCTAAAGAAAAACTTCCTAGTAAACGTTCAGAAAAAGTCTGAAAAAAAGAAAGAGAAACATAAATCCACACTTCTATTAGTCAACGGATGAAATGAACTACAGTTGTCCTCTGCTTGTATCACATGCAACAAGGTCTCTGAAATAGTTAGGACCCCTTGATACTTCCATAAATTTGGAAGCCACTACTAAGGTTATTCATTATAAAGAACTCCTACCCCATTCCACAATTTTGAGACATGAATCCTATATATTCTGTGTGTGCACACAGTTAAAGACTTACATTTTAATCCTAAACAGAGTTACACCAGTCTAGTCCACTGAAATCAAGGAGTTAGACAACTCTGTATAACATTGCACATTTTGTCTAAAATCTTCTGTCACAATTCCACCACAACTTACCACTGCTACTGCCTTGGACATTAGCAGATCTTCAGGGCTGATTGTTGTAAAATAGGCCACATTTGTTAACACATAGCCAACTGTGACAATAACCATTGAAGTGCAAATGGCAAGTGGTATATTTCTGAAAGAGAAAAAGAAATTTACTGTTATCCATCTGCACTGAATCAATTTGGTTATGAAAGAAATTTTATTTGTGTCATTGGACCTCCATCGTGACAGGTATACTTTTGCACACTCGATTAGGTCTTGCTACATGATACCTAATTGGAGACAAATATCAAACATCATAGGTCAAAAGAGCTTATTTCTAACTTTCTGATATGAGTACCCTTATCTGTTTACATTATAAATAGAAGACAAATTGTTCTTAAGCTATGCTCAAAAAGACTTGTCAGTAGAATTCTACGCACAGTTATTCCATTAATTTTAATGGGCTTAGTCTGAAGTAACTCTGCAGAGAATTGCTGCTCTAAGGTCCCATTCACACGGAGAAGTTGCCACGCTAAAGACACGGATGATAGGTGGATTTTCGGTGTGCAATCACACTGCAACATCTGCCATGCTAAAGACACGGATGATAGGTGGATTTTCGGTGTGTGATCACACTGCAACATCTGGGAAGCGTAGTACACCCGTGGCTAACCCGTGGCTTCTCACCAAAGATGCGGAGTAAAAAACTACCACATACAATGTACTAGTTTCTGGAAAACGCGGGGCAAGGGCGGGCATCTGATCGTGTTTCCGCTTTAATCCAATGGCATCCGGTGCCCGTCCATGTCCCGTCGCACACCGGATGGGGGTTTTTTTGTAAGTCTCACAGGATGCACACAAACAATCATGCGCATGTGCAAACTTCAGTGTGAAAAAAAAAATCCCATTTGCCAGAGAAGCGGTGCCTAGCGATTGCCGGTGTGATCGTGCCGTGCCGCTTCTTTGCCGTGCTGCAGGATAGCCGTGTGATCGGCACCTCACGGCCTAACCACGGGACCTTGACAGGATATGTGATCGGGCTGCCACGCGTTACTTTGCTTCAGGGCAAACAGCCATGCTTCCCCCCTGCATTTTCCAGCCCATGTGACCAGGACCTAACTGTATCTTGAAATGATGGTCACATCATAGCAAGGAAGTCTGAGTTGACCCTATTCACTTTGCTGTTTTGTTTGCATACTAGAGAGTATGTTGAAGCCTGATTTATCCTAAAACCATCTGCAAGGAGTATTAGTTTATAAATCAGTGTAATATGATATATTTGTAACCACTCTAAAGAATGATCCTCAAATTGTAGCTTCACATTTATATTTCAGAGCAAAGAGTCTGGGCCTGAGAAACCTGCATTCAAATCCTACTTTAGCCATAAGTTAAATCATTATCTTTAAAGTATTGATGTTTATGAGATAATTTGTTGACATTATTGAGAAGATTACTTGACATTAAAAAATTAATAATCTAGAAATTCTTAAAGTGACAGTCACCACAGTTGGCAATAAACTACCACAGGATAGAACTGAAATTTGGGAACTGCTAATGGAATTTGGTACAATACTCCGTGACTTTGCTGTACTCTTTGTTTCACAGATGAACCTCACCAGATAACATGGTGATGGATAAAACTGAACCTAAGTAGAATATCATACACAGCAAGCAGTTGAACAAACAAACCCAAACGTGAAGAAACATGAAGCCCAAAGATTCATTGAAATAATTATACCATTTCAGTGCATAATAAGGCACAATATTATAATGACATTTTGAAATTCACAAGAGATGTTCTGGACTGGCTATAAGCATTATTGTATTACCCCCAAATACTGTATTATCCCCACAATAACATCCCTATGATCATGCCTTGTGTCCTGAGCTCCCAATCCTGGACAATGTGGAGCAATCAACAAGAGTAGGATTGCCCGATTACAAGACACTGCCCATTAGAAGTCCTGAGGATGCTGAAGCTGTGCCTTCTATTCCATACCTCCACCAGTACCTCTGCATACCCTTCTACACTGGAGCAAGCAGGGCCCTAATTTTGCCCAACAGCAGGTAAGGGAGGAGGGGGCAAATGGACCAGTGGAGGAACAGAGCATGATGTGTAGCGGCTGCAGGCTCTACTTCCTTGGAATTTTGAAAGGAAAGGGTGTTATCACTGAATTAACACCTATCTAAAAATAGTCACCAAGAATGCTTTAGATGAAGACTTTTTGAGTCAGTAGTAAACAAAGTTTTACTACAAAATCCACTGTTTATAATGTCTGAGAGGAAGTATTTTAGTCAGTCGAACAGCTATATTCTACAGCACATACCAGCTGCCCAGCGCAAAGGACAAGAAAGTCATCTCACGCCATGCTCATGGCAAAAACTGTGCTTTGAATTACTGACTAGAAAAGGCCCTGAGATAAGTGACCCTGGAAACACTTTCCTAGTATTTCTTTTATATACTAACTTTTACTCACCTGTTTTGGCTCTCTGGAGTTCAGACAAAGCATACTTTCAGTTCCTTGATCTCAGACTTTCTGCTCTGCATTTTCAGCAGTTATCAACCTTTAGAGAAAAGCACTACAGGGCAGCTCTACTACATATCTTAATATGATTCCCTCTAAAAATAAAAGTAAAGTTCATAACCAACTAGGGAGAAAGCATTGTTGGACTTGTGTTATTTGGCACTCTGACTCCTGGCTCATTAGGCTGGCGCATCTAACCCAGTCTGTGGGGGGGGGGGGGACGGGACCCTAAATAACTAGTCAGCAAGCGCCATTCATTATTCTGCTGAAAGACTGGGACACTCCATGTTCCCAGAAGCCTTGAGCAGAATAAGAGGTTTTGTGACCTCCGAGGTCTGAGTACTTTAATGTAGAAGCCATGCTTCATCTGCCTTTCCCCCCCCCCTCCCAGCACAATCAGGCCTTTAGGGGGCTGCAATCCATTAGCATGCAACACCAGCAAGTGTGACTTGTTAGTTGGTGGCTTGCAGTGACAAACTCGGACAAAAAAACCCTCTGGCTTCATGATTTAAGGGATAAGCCATCCAACTCATATCCATTTTCAGCTGAAGAGTTATATTGTCTTTTCAATCACCATGTAATGCATTAGCCCACATTTCAGCTCTTGTGTTAAAATGCAGTCTAGCACCTTTAAAAGATGCCTCATCTGCCTCTGAGAGTGTAAATCGGGCATTCTGAATTAAAATGTCTTGGCACATATATACTTTATATATCGGCCCTCGGTGCCACAGAAGTTTCAGGTTCATAGAAGTTGAAGAACCCCATTGCCTAGATGCCAGTACTAAAGCAATTTATCTGATTATTTATATATTCCTTCTTGGAAATTGAAAAAGAGTAGCATGTTTCAGAATAAGGCCCCTGTGACAAGCCGTTTCTGTCAACTGAGGGGACCCACACAGCTTCCTATGATTTTTAGGGAACTAGGTTTGTGTTAAATCATAAACCTTCCCTCAGTTACCAGATGTTCTAAAGGTAGCGAGTGTATAGGCTTAGGCTTTGCTGCCATAGGTAAGTTTTATGGTGAGCAAATAGAATACAGAGATTGGTGAGGCAGGAAATATATATTAACAACACAGAAGATTTATTTATTTACAAGCTGGTTTCAAAGAACAGATAAGCAGCACAAATCTCCAAGTAGACTAGAAGAAGAAGAAGAGTTGGTTTTTATACCCTGCTTTTCACTACCCAAAGGAGCCTCCGAGTGGCTTACAGTCACCTTCCCTTCCTATCTCCTTGTGAGGTAGGTGGGTCTGAGAGAGCTCTGAGAGAACTGTGACTGACCCAAGGTCAGCCAGCTGGCTTCATGTGGAGGAGTGGGGAATCAGTTTGCCACTCTTAAATTTTAGAGTTTGCCACTCTTAAATGCTACATCACACTGGCTCTCAGGAAAAGAGAAACATGGCTGAGGCACATTAATTTAAACTAGTTATGACTTCAGAGAGTAGTTTGAATGCTTTTTTAATACTTTCAGGTATAAACAGGCTTTTACTGACTAGTCACTAGGTTAGATCCTCTCACACACATAGGATTCTACCTTTACCAGCTTGCCATTTTCCAAGAGTTATACTAAATGGTACAAGGTCTGTTCATTACCAGAGTCAGGCCTAGCAATTATTACTCTATTCTCTCTCAGAGGTAGAGCTAAACCATTCTGCCACACTACCAAGCAGAGCTAGCCTTCACCCTGTCTGCTCTTTTTCGGAGCCAGCCCTGAGCTATAACTATTCTCTCCTTGAGGCAAAATTGAACTCTCTCTGCACTCACCTTGAGGCTGATGGGGACTAAATTCCTGCAGTGCTTCCTTCCAACACTCCAGCCCCCTCCCAAAAGGTGATTGGATGCCAGAACAGCAATCTCACGGGCTCAAATGAGTGGCTGTTTTCACATTTGGGGCAGGACAGCCTCCTGTCCATCACAGCACACACACACCTATCCTTGGAGGCACAGTTTTTTTTTTTGTAAAGCCACAACAATCAAGAAGGGAAAGAAAGTGAAAACAGAATCATATCATTCTTCCTATTCTCATTCACAGGTGAGGTGTTTAAGAGAAACACTGAAAAACAGCAGGATTCTCACAAACAGAGTATAATCCATATGTATAACAGAGTTCTGAGCAGTACTAGCTCCTGCTGTGAAGCAAAAAAAACCAACCCTAAATAAATTATCGGTACATACCATTCATTACTTTGCTGAAACGTAGAGTACAATTCAGAGTATAATCCAGAGGAACATAGATATTATCAGTCCCACTGACACATTTGAGCATGTGGGCACTTTTGGATTTCTGACATAGGGTGGTGGGCACAACCACAAAATGGCTGCCAACAGAGGTGGAGCCAACCACATACACACGCACAGGAAGCCTAAATGCAGGGGACAAGAGAAGTCATTTTAAAAAATACACTGGGATTGAGGAGTGATAGAATATAAAACAAACACTGTGTCTCTAAATGCAGGGGACAAGAGAAGTCATTTTTAAAAATACACTGGGATTGAGGAGTGATGATAGAATATAAAACAAACACTGTGTCATCTGTGTAGCCAATTAGCTCTCCAGTGGCAAATCAGAAGCCCTGCTGGGCAGGAGCCCCACTCACACCAGGAATGGTATTGGAGGTTGCCAAGG